TCAGACAGGATGCGTCGCATGGGGGGTTCTTCCTTTAGAATCAGCTGACATGTCCCATAGCCTATCCCAACAATGTCGACCAAGTCGTTGATGGTACGACGTCGATCTTCGTGAATGGCCTGCCGAATCTTGGTAACATTTTCGGGCGTTGTGCTCGAAGATGGTCGTCCAGAACGCTCGTCATCATGGACAGAGGTTCGGCCCTTTTTAAAACGTGAATGCCACACAAAAGTTTGTGCACGACCCATTGCGGACTCCCCAAATGCTTGCTTTAGCATTTCATAGGTTTCCGTAGCCGTTTTGGCGAGTCTTTGGCAAAATTTGATGCACACGCCATTCCGAAATAGCAGGAGGGTCGGTGTAATGCACTACCAAAACGCCCGTAACTAAGAAACAAATGCTAATTTGATGATGCCGGCTGGCACACTGATTCACTATGAATGTAGGCCGCACCCTCTAGCGGCAGAAGCTCGTACTACATCCGGTTCGCCCTCTATTGACACAGTCTTTAAACTTTCCGATCTCACCTCGTATACAGCTGGAGGAAAGACTAAATAAAACACGCATAGTAATGTATTCTAATCTTTCATGGGTGTAAACATTGAGGACAGAAGGACGAGAGATTATTTGAACCTAAGACAGGAAACATGACAGGTGTTGGCTTCCGGAACGGAAACCCATATAATTTATACTCATCACTAAATATTACTATCACGATCAAATCAAGGGGGGTGAGATGGGAGGGGCATGTAGCTCGCACGAATAAATTACAAATGCTTGCAAAATTTCGATTGGAAAACCTCAATGGACAAGGCCATGAGGACGATCTAAGTATAGATGGGATAATATTAGGGAGGAAGTGGATTGGAATAAGGTGACTCAGAATATGAACTGACGGCGGGCTCATGTGAACATGGTAATAAACCTTCGGGTTCAATAAAAGATGGTGAATTTCTTGTTTATCGGAGGTTCTCAAGAGGAACTCTATGGAATTAGTTAAGACAGGAAGTCAGCTACTTCGTTTGTAAGTTAGCTAGTTATTTCACTGCCGAATCTAACCAAATCAGTACTTTGCTTACCCAGAGCAGGTATTCCTATCGTGGCCTCATACATTCCCGAATGCCTCTGCATAACAAAACTGTACTGAATCCAAGGAAAAGTAGAGTTTTCGCCAGAATTTTCCAAGTGCCTCCTGGAAGTCGCAGACAACAGCTTCCACTCCGAATTAGGTTCATAGTGATATATATTCACCTCGAAACAAATCCAAAAATTATTACAATATTAAATTATGATGTTACAGTTTTATTTAAGTTTAACTCTGAATGTATGTACTTACGATGCCATGATTTGTGTTAACAGCAATCTCCTCTCCTGTCTGCATCCATGCTCCAATCTGAACAGAACAATTCATTGCGTCGTACGGCCAGTAGGCTATGTCGGGAGCACAAATTGAGAAGTAGACCGTCCGTGAGACACACGTCACGACGCCGCTGGAATCCACCAGACACATGCCGCTGTGGATATCATGTCTCACATTCCACGTCGAAGTCCTGAAAGAAACGACACTCCATGGTTCATGATCGTCCACGTACCAGGGAGCTCAACATCTACAGTTTTCGCATTCACCATTTTTACCTGAAGACGGAAGAATATTCGTATTCCGAAGCATTGCAATTTTATTCAAATACATACAATTGACAAAGTCCAAAATTAAAATTTTACAGATTAGTTGTCACTCATGTCCCGATACTGAGCTGAAGGCGATGTTGTATTTCTCGCTTACAGTCCGAGCTGCGAAATTCCTGGTACCCAGATCTCGGAAGTGTACAGACGCAGTGCGTCCACACCCCCATAATCGGACGGTTTCCACTGTAGCTTCTCGTCCGTCCATTCCTGGAACAGATTCGTCAAAATTGACAATATAACTTTTTTGGCAAAGTAATTAAATTGTGCGATGCATTATGAGAAATCAATAAGCAAACACACGCTCTATCATACTTTTTTATATGGTTCCTCGCCCCCACAAAGTGCACGAAGTGTACGCGTAATAGTAAGTCATGTCCGTCATCATATTAAATCTCCTAAATTACGAAGTCACATAATGGATTCCGTCGATGTTTGATTCTAAGCTGGTGATATGGGGTTAATTCTGCCTCAGCGTAAAACCGACCACTCGCCGTCACCTTGTGCCGAATTTAAACAAATATGATGCTTAAACACAATACGAAGTTAGCCTTACCAGAAGTTTAATAAATGAAGGCAAATTGGAACTTACCCAGACCATCCAGCAGTCAACATTCAAGGAGCCGCTATACTCATCCTGTGAAGACAACGTAAATTATAGCATCGAGGTCTTTTGCGTCATTCAAATATAAACACGTAAAATTATCGGTTAAAATGGCGTCATATGTAAGCAAAATGCAAAGACCATGTTGATTGATTCTTGGAATATTAATAACATAAATTACACAGCATCGAATGGTAGACACTGAATGGCCGATCGCCGTGACCTCCCGATTTGGTAATCCTGCAACAGCGACGAACGGTTAAATTTATTTTGTGACCTATTTGACTATCTTAGAAACGCTATTGGACTTGAATATTGCGTTCACATGACATGCCGATGGATTCCATCTTCAAACATCTGAATTCTATCACATCCATTCTGAAATTATCATCTTCCTACGTTGTTTTCTGCCGAAAATATTGTATGTATTTCTAGTTTTCAGTATTACATGGGCCGTTCATATCATCTTCAATTACGTAACAATATTTCGTGAAGAATGACTAATTTTGTAGCTCCCCTTTATGTAATTTTCTAAATTCCCTCTTGCACCAATTTCCTTACATTACACGCAGAAATTGTTTTTCTTAACAATTTTTGTTCTTCCCTTAAATAAAAAGTGACAGTGGAACCAAGGTTCCGGAGAATTTGACGTAAATACGTCTATACGGAAAGGAAGTTTATATATTGGCTTTATTCTAAATATTTCCTTTATACACGCTTTATAATTGAGTAAAGTTTGATTAAGACATTGCTTATTCAACTTGAATTAGTTACGCTTAAGATGGGTCTGTGGTAACTGAATGTAATAAGCCCCCGGAGGAAAACTCCGTGTTGCCTAGACCACGGCCTTGCCCAACACAAGTTATAAATTCGGGCACCGCCGGGAATCGAACCCGAGACCCCAGGATTACAAGGCCAGCGTTCTGACCGCTAGACCACCGTGGCAGCCTAATGTAAGGTAAGGTAAGGTAATGTTTTATAGGTAACAACAATGCCGAGTAATGTAACGTTTCCTAGGTAACAACAATGCCGAGTAAACTGATGATGTTTCCAAGGTAACATAACAATGAAGTTACACTTTTTCGTAACACATTTTTGCCGAATGACCCTTCCTTATAGGCGTATTTACGTCAAACAATTAATTTAAATCCGTATAAAATGGTTTTATAATGAGAATGTGGTCCCATAACATGAAGACTTCAGCTACACCGCTACTTACAAACGTGAGAGTCCTGAGCAACATGCTGACAAAGACGAAAGTCGCGTTGCCATGGTAAATCACTGGACGAACGTTCTTATCGTACGCACATAGAAGGTCTTCCTTCAACAGAACTGTTTGTGGCTTCTCTCTGGCTTTGCGACTAGCGTCATCTGCTGACACACCTGAAAAACCGAACAAACTCGGCATGTCTCCTCACGTACATCTAACTTCAACGCACAAGATATTTCTTAATAAGCTGACAGTTGTTCAGCTGGTCCATAAATTTCCCGCTTTTTGTGAAACCTTCTTTACAAGAGCACTCTATTCGTATCTGTCTCTCTCTGACCAGTTGTATCCAGTCTACACCGTATTATTTTACGATTATTTTTAATATTATCCTCCGATCTAAGGCCACATGCCCTGAGTTCGGTTTTCCTTTGAGGTCTTGTTCCTCCCAAACATTTCTTCGTCCTTAATGTTCCTATTAACTTCAAACACTTTCATGTTTAAAATTTAATGAAAACAAACACCATTCAACAAATGTATTTACCGTAACAAACAGAGAAAACTAACAAACACAGAACAGTAACAAGTAGTCGCATGGTTAAAAACCCCTCAACTATACTGTGTAAAGCAGAAGTACTGAAATCCTAGCCGATGCCATGTGTCAGTGTGTGGTTTCGTTTAAACCAGGGAGAAATACGAACCCAGGACCGCCTCCATGATTCGTACAACATTACCCTTTATCATATGGTCACTAAAAATATCATGTGGCACAACACACACAGGCAGATAATCGAAAACATTTTCTAGTGCTTCCAGATATAAGAGTGAAGCATTGCGCTTGTAGCCGCAGCGTTGCAATATTTCCCAAACGGACGCGTGTACGTTTGGCAGAAGCAAAATTATATATTCTTTTGCAAAAAAAAAATACCTTAAAAACACCAAAACCAGTTAACTTTTCTTTTGATAGCACAGAACTGCAGTCCAAATCACGAAAGTGCAGAAGCCATGCACCTGCGGTAGTGGCTGTTCCTTCTACCGTACACTATCCCGCTAATTATAAAATAAAAATACATTATATTGGATGAAATTTAAACATTTAAATAAACTCTTCACACTAGTAACGTACTACAGATTGCTTAAAGTGCATTCATACGAAACACAGTCGTACTGCAACTCTGTTTTAAGAATGAAAACATATCCATGGGGGGTGACACAAATGGAAGTAAAAGCTCATAAGGATCAGTGGTTCACTCCTACATCTGGATTGTTCTTGTTACATTGTAATTCAGTGATGAGTAAACATCTTTTAGCATGAGATCAGAGGTTCTCACAGCGATGAAGACGTCAGTGTTCATCTTGTGGGTTATAACGTTGTGTTGAAACATAGGTAGATACCAGTGTTTCGGAGGAACATACTGCCTCTGTCTTCAGGGCTAAAGTCGATGTTTTTCTGGGTTGTGAAACTGTGTGGATTGTGTTATCTGAAACGTTGGTATCTACCTATGAGTCCACGCGGCGTCGAAACCCCGAAGAACATTTTTTTACAACTTACAGCTGAAGTCTGAACATGGGTGGCAATACTTTCTTTAGAGGAGTAACTTCGGCATATTCCAAATATATTCATTTATTACGGATATTAAATACATGCGACCTTCCCATCTTTGACTAACTCTCACACGCTGACTCTCTATGACTCAGTTCTATTTCAAGGCATGAGCTTGTTTAATTTAACAGCAATAAAGAACACTGAAATGGCAAAAATCGGGTATATTTACAATATGGCGCCAGTGCCAAGAGTTGCATGCTCCTAGACCAGGGGTGGGGAACCTTTTCATGTTAGAAGGCCGCATTAATTTAGCTGTAATCAAATCGCATTCAAGAAACTTCAATTAGATATACTTAAAAATGTACATTATTTTGTAAAAATCTAACTACTATGTACTAAATAATTTCAAAAAATGAAAATTATTTGTTAATTTTAAAGTTAACTAATATTTTAATGACTTTGTTGTGTCTGCTTTTTGTAGGAAATCATTTGAATGTTTGGTTGCAGCATGTATTAATAAAAATAAAAGGATTTGTTCTGTAAAATTTGGATTCAGTCAAAAGGCCGCACTTAAGGACCTAGAAGGCCACATGTGGCCTTAAGGCCGCAGGTTCCCCACCCCAGTCCTAGACGCACAGAAACGATCAGTCACCGTTAATAAGGCCTGTCTGTCGGCAGAATTACTGACTACGGGCTGGATAACCAGGGTTTGATTCTCAACAGAGCAGTAATCCTTATCTACACCGGACTCAAGTGTGCCAGAGTGGATTTAATTAAAGTCGCTTCGCTCACGAACGAAAGTTGATCTCTTTTTTAACGGCAAGATAAGAAATTCCATTGTCCGTGACTTCCTTTAATTAAATAGGCATACATTTCCACACACACACTCGTTTGTATTACCCAATGCTTCTTTCTTCGTCTTTATATAAGCTCTATACAAATCGGCGTGTGTTTATTTACTGATACTCTATCAACTGCAGTGTTATGTAGCGTGGAGTGAATTAAGAGGACGTTTATTTACAGCCTACTGAAATGGAAATGATCAGGAAGGAAACGGTAATGTTCTGTCTAAAGTAGGTAATGTTTGGCAATGACAGTTGGCGGCAGTGTAGACGGTGTTCGTCGCGTTAGTACCGAGAAACATAATTTCATTGGGGTTATGTGATCTTTGCTGGTGTTAACTTATCGTTCAAGAAACGGTTACCATGATAAGATTCAACCGGCTTAGCATAGGGTCCACTGACAGGTTTCTTTTTATAATGTCCATTAATCTCAATCATACGCTACACTGTGTGAAATGAAATCATGTCGGCATCAGGTGGTCCCACCAGGTGTCACCATGGCAACACGATGCAAACAGATATCCTTCCCAATTCCCAGTTGCTCTTGTTACGAATAGACGCTGAACAAGCAAACTATTTACGATTGCATGTTTATTTGTGGTGCCAATATATCTAGTGCTTAAATTGGCATTGAATCTGATATTACGAGCCAAAAGCCGTGAAAAGAAGGCGTGATTTCTCGTTACAATTTTAAATTAATATTCCACTTCATTCACACTACGTACATAAATATTAACACAAGATAAATAACACAGACGACGAGGAAGGAAAGACGGTTCAGTAGTGTCCCGAACAGACGCCAATTTGCCATGACGTCTGACTGCGTCTCACTGTCACCAGATTCCTGTTTCGCATCGTTTAGTGGTTCGCTAACCTGTTAAATAAATTTAAATTTAATTACTAATACGAAACACATTCTACGTACTTTATGCGTCAGACGTGCATTGATTTTACTCGCATCAGAGAATTTGATTACCTTCGGGCAGTTTCTTCTTGCAGACAGAAGCAGAATTCGAGCAGGTTTGCTTTCCATAACGCTGATGATTAAGTCTGGAACCGTTGTCGCTGGAATTGCATTCAGCCACTGCATGAAGACTGTCAACTCCAAAGACAATACGCACAGTGCAAAAGAATCTCGAAAGAACAACCCTGTAAAATCGCGTCGATTGTAAAGTATGCTTTATGTGTTTGCTTTAAAAAAAATTAACTTAAATCATAACCTCTTGCGAAATTATTTCTTTCTTAAATCACATTTACGTAGTATTAGCGACTGAAACAATTTTCAGATTGATAGATTTTAAAGCGAGTTCAACGTTAATTTCACTTCAAGCTTTTGTGATTAAAGTTAATTTACAAATTTGTTTATGCTTCAAAGAATTCAGAGACTTGACTACCCATTTACACTTCACAGTTCTCTCGATCAGCCTGTATGTATTAGGGTGGCCACACACGCTACGGCTTACCGGAAGGCTTACGTCTCTGAAGGCCAACCTTCCGGCAAACCGGAGGTTGTGTGTTGAATTTGGCCGGAAACCGAGCCTCCGATAAATCTGCAGTCTCTTGATTTTTTGCCTCGAGACTTACTGAATGTTTACAAGTCGCAACGTGTGTGGGCAGAGACGAGGGTAAAGGCAAGGCTTGTAGTATTTAGTCATCTCAAGCAGCCACCGAGAACTTCAAATCCTCGTAGTTTAAGTAAGTTTAACAGTTCCAAATATGTGTCCTCATCCATTCGCAGGTAGTTATGCCAGTCCGTCGTCTCTAATCGAATTTCATTCAACAAATTTATTCGAGAATATTTTGATCCATCTAACCAACTTCTGACCCACTTAGAAAGATTTACCTTTCTTTTCTTTTTCAACATTAAAGTAACAGCAAGACCGATTAAAATCGCATCGTCTTCACTGAACACGTTGTAGCATCGACTGAAGAATAAAAAGACTGAGCTCCAACCTGCCACAAAGTCTGTACGTGTGTGGACTCTCAGAGGTTTGAGGCTTACCTTCCGAATTTAACTTGGAAGGCAGGCCTTCCGGTAAGCCGTAGCGTGTGTGGCCACCCTTAACATTGGCATCAGCCCGGCGTTAGTGAAAGGTCTTTAAATAATACAATCCCATTTATAATAATATTATAACGTAATCTGTGGTCTATGGGTTCTTCAGAATAAAGGATGGATTTATTCCACACGGTATTACGGTTAATTATGACGTCACTCCAAGCAGGTTTGACTAACATGAACATACCACGTGACGATTTATTTTACTGTTCTTAATTACTTGCCTCCTAACAAGTGATTAATGGCGACTCATTCCAGTACAGTGAATAATTTGTAAATTTATTTATACAGATAATTCAGAAGTAAATTCTCTCATATCCCAGACTGCGTCAGCATTAAGAACTTTTCTGGCAGACCTATACGTACCGATCACAGGAACATTATCTCCATTAGTTATGTGGCCAATGTCCTGGAGTAGCAACACGTGACATACGATGAGGGTGTAGCAAAGGTTAAGGCGAACTTCCTCGTCTGCGTTCAGCCAGAAAGACGCCAGCAACAAGAAGACGAATACTTCAAACAAAAGGCAAATTCTCAGTTCTCTAGATGTTTCTTGCAGGAATATTGTAAAGAAACAACAGAATTATGTTAACCAGCCACGAGATGTTTAATGTTTCTCCTCAGTTCAATATGTCCAGGCTAATACCAGGACAGCCGATTCTGTCTAAAAGCAAAACATTACTGCGTGCTTACAAATCTTTGCCTAATCATTCAAGTCCCACTCTTTAACAAATAACAGTCTTGTGGTTTGTTGCGCCAAGCAGTCTTTTGGCAGTATAATGCCTCCATATTCAGGACTAAAACTGGTATACAGTTCATAGACAACATTACGCAACAACCTCGAAGATCATCTTACATTCACATCGCAATAAGGACCTCAAATCTTACGTTATCATTCATTTAATTCTGAAAGGCATAAGTCAAGCGTAATTTGTATTAACTTAAGACCTGAGAATAAAACCTCAGGTTGAAACACCATCGCTGTTTTAGTAAAATGTCATGATCATAATTAGATCAGGGCTATTGAAATTCTAAGCGGAGTTGTTTACCTGTTATGGGTACAACAACTGAAACCTCTGTAATGATTTCATTTCTTCTCAGTAGGAAGTTGTACTGCACACAAGGAAACACTTTATTCCCAAATACGTGGTTGTACTTGGTGTATCCCACAGCAAACAGTTTCCATGTATGGGTGGGATTGTATTCGTTTAAGTCAACCTTCGAACACAGTACAGGTAGTCATTAAACAATGATGGTTCACGTTACAAATGAATCGTTCACTTCATGGAATAATGATTATTCTTTGTTCGAGCGCTTTTCAATGCAGTTGTAAACACAAAAGTTCACAAACCATTAACACTTCGAGCTCTCTCACGAACGATTCTGTTGACCACATCATAAGAGTTCGTAAAATAGAATCAGCCCATTACAATATACAAAAGTTCAATATCACGACACAACAAATCACATGAAACAGAATCTTCTTCATAAATAAAAAGAATCGTCTTTACTTCGACTGTTTTTGCTAAACGTTTCCTTTGAGGCTGCATTGTCCAGGGTTCCTCTTTTGTTTGTGGGTAGTTGACAGTTAACATATAAGACCAAATTACACCAGAATGTCTACAATACTTATGAGTATCTTGCCCTTTCCCAGTGTATTTATATAAATATCTTGTGATTCACTCAGCCCAAGACAAGCAGCAATTTTACCATGTGTAAATAGTCGTCATACTAACAGAAATGATATATCAGAGTCCACGATGACCTCGGGGAGGAGAAAGCTACATCATTATCCTGAAAAATCCATTGCATGGATGCTAAATTTCCAACCTCGCGTAGAGTCTCTTTTTCCGGAAACAGTCACTGGAAAATCAACATTTCCTTATTGCCTCAACACCGACTACAACCATCTTGTTTCTTGTTCTTAAGGTTCGGTTAACTTTTTCTGACTCTCGGGTTCACTCACTAACTCTAGAGTTATCGGGTTAGTGTCTTAAATAAACCAATCCCGCCCAAACTCCTACTCAGTATCGTTTAAACATTTTTCGTTCGAAGCTAAGTAAACTCTGAAGCATTCCTCAAGATAAGTCACAACAGTTTCCTCTAAATCCTTATCAACTTTACATTTCATTCTACATTTGCAGTTTAAATAGCGGCCTTAAACGTCCAAGGAATCGATTAATCTGCGCGAAAAATCATAACAGTAATTTCAGGGATACCTACGAGTATATGAGAACTTCTGTTAATAGGCCTAAAGGCGTATGTACGAAGACAGATGAATGCTAACACTAATGCTACTCACTAAATGTCTCTCTTAGAGGCTCTGACCCTTCAAATTATTTAAAGAGACCTGTCTCAGCATTTAAGTTGGCAATCACTATTTCGTTAACAGCTGACTTCTTACGTTATCGCGGAAGTACACTAACAGAAGAAGAATTTTTCAGATGAAAACCGTTTTGCGTTACTTACAGCGTCGTCCACAACAAGCAATTCGATTTCCTCTTCAGATTGCGTCACCGTCGAGATTGTCACACTGCAATTTTGAGAATCGTAAGGCCAGTGGGTGAGATCCAGGTGACAAAGAGAAGGCAAACTGTAGTGATTCCAACAATGGAGCCAACCTGACGAAAATAAATTGCACAACGTATAACCTTGCCTGAGATCCGTTATGTCCCACGAGGATCTGCAAACAGGATGTCATCAAATCACGTGTTATTCTACTATACTTGAAGGCCTGTTCCTACCTGTTCACAGCGATATGCTAAATTCCTACAAGCTACAAAGACACGAACAACATTCTGACGCCTTCAGACTGGTCTTTTTCATGCATAAAGTGAAAGCAGAGTGGAGAGGTCTTATCCCCGGAATAAATGAAAGGATTTAAATTTTGATTTAGAACTCTCCGTTAAAAGTATTACAGCGAGATTAATTTTGGTGTTATGTTCTAATACAATCCCTATTTTACATGAATCTCAAAACGAACTTTAAAGAAATGTCCCGATATAACTCACTGAAAATAAAATTGCCAAACATGCTTTATAGAATTTATTGACAACTGTAAGTTTCTATATGGTTACTACTTAACTAAATACAATAAGTAATAATTTTAGCCCGTGTAGTGAGTCAAAATTGTAGTGTGATTATCTTAGCAGCAATGAACGAACTTCGAAGCCAATGAGGTACACAAATTGGCAAAGAATGCATTTGGACATTTCGTTCATATTAATTTATTTCTACATGCTGCACCCTTCTAGAGCAGCCATTTTATTCTTAGTAATTTATTTGTCTTTTGTGCAGATATTGCGTTTCTTTTACAAATTGAAGGTTTGTGGCAACCCTGTGTCGAGCAAGTCTATCGGCGCCATTTTTCTAACAGCATGTGCTCACTTCGTGTCTCTGTGTCACATCTTGATAATTCTCGCATTGTTTTTGGACATAATGCTATTCCACACTTAACAGACTACAGTATAGTGTAAACATATCTTTTATATGCACTGGGAAACAAAAAAAATTGTATGACTCGTTTTATTGCGGTGGTCTGGAACCGAACCCGCAATATCTCCGAGGTATGTCTGTATAGCATTATCGGTTAAGATTATTCGTTATCTATAATGCATGTAACAGTCAATATCATAGCAGAGTTTGAATAAAAAAAATTATAGTAACATGATTTCAAGACTTCAACTCTATTCATTTGAAGGACGTGAATTAAAACCTAGAAATGAAAATAACTATTGTAACTCACAGTTGAAAAACTTCGGGAACCCAGACTGAAACGTCATTAAGTCGAATGAGATTTATTCCACCGTATTCCGAAGGATTCCACACTAGAAATTCATCTTTCCAAGTCTGTAATAAATATACAAATGAGCTCTAACAAATTAATAAAATCTTATTTAAATTATATTAATTCAGCTGGTAAAGGAATCTCATAACTTTATAGAATCGATGGTTCAATATTTTCAATTCAATCCATGCATTCACATCGTAATTATGTAAGATAAATATCAATATTATGTCCAACCATCACCTACGTCTCCCGCGTAGTTTTTCCGCTGTGTCTTCCAAACAAAATATTGTATTTCACATTTATTCTTTATTATTTTGGACAACTGATTTACACTCACAAATATTCATTCCAAATACGGATCTATTCCAGCAAATAGATTCTATAACTGCAGAGCTAATCACGCTGCCTTAAATTATGCCTGTTTTACTTCGTCAGATATTCGACATAACGAATAGTGTTCCAAAAATAATTTTCTAATCTTAATCGCATCCACATTTTATCAGGTATAAACTTTTGGATGTCATTTTTCTGTGAAATAATTGTTATATAAACCAATTTATTCAATTACAGTAAATATTACGTCGACGTCAACCAAACTTCAACATTTTCGATTCCCAATTATCAAGTTTAATTAAAATTCTTCCAGTAATTTCGGAGAAAAAACAAACATACAGACGGTTGGAAATTACTTCCCCAAAGTGAGATTTTTGTACGCAGTTCATGCAAAGAACACGCATGATGTCGGTAGAATGTTTTAATTTATAAAATGATAATAGTATGCTATATGCTACTGGTTCTAAAACCTAAAATTAGCATAAAACAGTCGTAAATTATACATAGGCCTATGTGTTTACTTACAAAGTGCATCGATGCATCAAGGACAAATTGATCATAATCTTCTTCCTGAAATAAATAAATAAAGTGTTGGTGCACATTCTTACATATGGCCCTAAAAATATAAATTTAAACGTACAAAGTTAATAGTATAACAATTTTCGCTGCCTGCCCTTAATATATTATTTTTCAACATATTTAAAAATTTTAAATCTATAAACGCTGCGTCCACTATAATCCATGTTCTGACATGTTTGTCCGTCTTATTTTGTCCTAAATAAAACTAGAATTTTAAAGTAAGGTTACCTAACGTTCGGTTAGGTTAGGGTAAGATAGGTTGGGTTAGGTTAGGTTAGGTTAGGTTAGGTTAGGTTAGGTTAGAATTAGACGAATTTCGGACATTTCCGGTAATCTTCTTTTACCTGTGATTAACTAATTTCGGACGGAATAATAATATTTATGGTAACACAGAACGAGGAGTTTTACAAACGTAAAATTGCAAATTTAAATGTTGCTACCATACTGACTAAGTGTTTATTCTGCGTATAAATAACACAATACAATGTATTGCGATTATATATCACGTATTTATTTTACTACTGGGTTTGATTAACGACAAGGAAGATGTCTATCAACAAACGGAAACTTACTAAAACAAGCGCCAGAGGAATCATTTCAATAATCACTGTTGTTCGGTCCGAGTGCAGGCGCACTGGCCTCACGCTCGTGTCGTAGTCCCGAAAAAGATCTTCCTTCAAGCGTTTCATGTGTGATTTACATTCCGAACCTGAGTTACATTCAGATTCAGCACTTCCTAAAACATAAATAAAGATAATGCCCAACTTATTCTCGACACGTTAAAGTAAAGTTGTTATAATTGTTACCAACAAAATACTTCTTCTTCAAGCGATAAATAGAAGTTACGGCCGTCAGAATCTCCTCACATCTTCTGTTTTTAATTGAAATCAACTTGTGAAATGAAACTCTGATATCAGAACTCACTTTTAATACCAAATAACGTCACTGTACTCAATCCTAAACCATTTCTACCCACCTTCCATCTCGCAAATTATTTCCGTAAGATGCATGTTAGTGTCAGATCATCATCTCAGTCTTCCAAGTGGTTTCCCCATAAAACTCTGTAAACATTACTCGTCTCTCCGTCTTTTCTACATGCCCAGTCCACAGTAGCGTCTTATAACTTGCTATCCTAACACTATACGACCTGCGTAAATTTCACTAAAATGCAAGTATCTACGTACACCCGTAAGTCTAGACGAAACCACAACCCGAAAACCTAACATCGTCATTTTCACCGCTGTAAGAACTTAAAATCTAAAAAAAACTTCGCCTTTTATCTGCTATATTTCTAATATAACCGATCATATTCCATTTTTACAGAACGTAGACTACAGTATGACCTTCGAAACGTTGGTTAACATCGACCAGACTACACAGCGCAACAACCCAGAAGACAGAAATCTTCATACTCATCGCCCTGATGACGGAGGCAGTATGACCTCTGAAACGTTGGTTAGCATCGACCAGACTACACAGCGCAACAACCCAGAAGACAGAAATCTTCATACTCATCGCCCTGATGACGGAGGCAGTATGACCTCTGAAACGTTGGTTAGCATCGACCAGACTACACAGCGCAACAACCCAGAAGACAGAAATCTTCATACTCATCGCCCTGATGACGGAGGCAGTATGACCTCTGAAACGTTGGTTAGCATCGACCAGACTACACAGCGCAACAACCCAGAAGACAGAAATCTTCATACTCATCGCCCTGATGACGGAGGCAGTATGACCTCTGAAACGTTGGTTAGCATCGACCAGACTACACAGCGCAACAACCCAGAAGACAGAAATCTTCATACTCATCGCCCTGATGACGGAGGCAGTATGACCTCTGAAACGTTGGTTAGCATCGACCAGACTACACAGCGCAACAACCCAGAAGACAGAAATCTTCATACTCATCGCCCTGATGACGGAGGCAGTATGACCTCTGAAACGTTGGTTAGCATCGACCAGACTACACAGCGCAACAACCCAGAAGACAGAAATCTTCATACTCATCGCCCTGATGACGGAGGCAGTATGACCTCTGAAACGTTGGTTAGCATCGACCAGACTACACAGCGCAACAACCCAGAAGACAGAAATCTTCATACTCATCGCCCTGATGACGGAGGCAGTATGACCTCTGAAACGTTGGTTAGCATCGACCAGACTACACAGCGCAACAACCCAGAAGACAGAAATCTTCATACTCATCGCCCTGATGACGGAGGCAGTATGACCTCTGAAACGTTGGTTAGCATCGACCAGACTACACAGCGCAACAACCCAGAAGACAGAAATCTTCATACTCATCGCCCTGATGACGGAGGCAGTATGACCTCTGAAACGTTGGTTAGCATCGACCAGACTACACAGCGCAACAACCCAGAAGACAGAAATCTTCATACTCATCGCCCTGATGACGGAGGCAGTATGACCTCTGAAACGTTGGTTAGCATCGACCAGACTACACAGCGCAACAACCCAGAAGACAGAAATCTTCATACTCATCGCCCTGATGACGGAGGCAGTATGACCTCTGAAACGTTGGTTAGCATCGACCAGACTACACAGCGCAACAACCCAGAAGACAGAAATCTTCATACTCATCGCCCTGATGACGGAGGCAGTATGACCTCTGAAACGTTGGTTAGCATCGACCAGACTACACAGCGCAACAACCCAGAAGACAGAAATCTTCATACTCATCGCCCTGATGACGGAGGCAGTATGACCTCTGAAACGTTGGTTAGCATCGACCAGACTACACAGCGCAACAACCCAGAAGACAGAAATCTTCATACTCATCGCCCTGATGACGGAGGCAGTATGACCTCTGAAACGTTGGTTAGCATCGACCAGACTACACAGCGCAACAACCCAGAAGACAGAAATCTTCATACTCATCGCCCTGATGACGGAGGCAGTATGACCTCTGAAACGTTGGTTAGCATCGACCAGACTACACAGCGCAACAACCCAGAAGACAGAAATCTTCATACTCATCGCCCTGATGACGGAGGCAGTATGACCTCTGAAACGTTGGTTAGCATCGACCAGACTACACAGCGCAACAACCCAGAAGACAGAAATCTTCATACTCATCGCCCTGATGACGGAGGCAGTATGACCTCTGAAACGTTGGTTAGCATCGACCAGACTACACAGCGCAACAACCCAGAAGACAGAAATCTTCATACTCATCGCCCTGATGACGGAGGCAGTATGACCTCTGAAACGTTGGTTAGCATCGACCAGACTACACAGCGCAACAACCCAGAAGACAGAAATCTTCATACTCATCGCCCTGATGACGGAGGCAGTATGACCTCTGAAACGTTGGTTAGCATCGACCAGACTACACAGCGCAACAACCCAGAAGACAGAAATCTTCATACTCATCGCCCTGATGACGGAGGCAGTATGACCTCTGAAACGTTGGTTAGCATCGACCAGACTACACAGCGCAACAACCCAGAAGACAGAAATCTTCATACTCATCGCCCTGATGACGGAGGCAGTATGACCTCTGAAACGTTGGTTAGCATCGACCAGACTACACAGCGCAACAACCCAGAAGACAGAAATCTTCATACTCATCGCCCTGATGACGGAGGCAGTATGACCTCTGAAACGTTGGTTAGCATCGACCAGACTACACAGCGCAACAACCCAGAAGACAGAAATCTTCATACTCATCGCCCTGATGACGGAGGCAGTATGACCTCTGAAACGTTGGTTAGCATCGACCAGACTACACAGCGCAACAACCCAGAAGACAGAAATCTTCATACTCATCGCCCTGATGACGGAGGCAGTATGACCTCTGAAACGTTGGTTAGCATCGACCAGACTACACAGCGCAACAACCCAGAAGACAGAAATCTTCATACTCATCGCCCTGATGACGGAGGCAGTATGACCTCTGAAACGTTGGTTAGCATCGACCAGACTACACAGCGCAACAACCCAGAAGACAGAAATCTTCATACTCATCGCCCTGATGACGGAGGCAGTATGACCTCTGAAACGTTGGTTAGCATCGACCAGACTACACAGCGCAACAACCCAGAAGACAGAAATCTTCATACTCATCGCCCTGATGACGGAGGCAGTATGACCTCTGAAACGTTGGTTAGCATCGACCAGACTACACAGCGCAACAACCCAGAAGACAGAAATCTTCATACTCATCGCCCTGATGACGGAGGCAGTATGACCTCTGAAACGTTGGTTAGCATCGACCAGACTACACAGCGCAACAACCCAGAAGACAGAAATCTTCATACTCATCGCCCTGATGACGGAGGCAGTATGACCTCTGAAACGTTGGTTAGCATCGACCAGACTACACAGCGCAACAACCCAGAAGACAGAAATCTTCATACTCATCGCCCTGATGACGGAGGCAGTATGACCTCTGAAACGTTGGTTAGCATCGACCAGACTACACAGCGCAACAACCCAGAAGACAGAAATCTTCATACTCATCGCCCTGATGACGGAGGCAGTATGACCTCTGAAACGTTGGTTAGCATCGACCAGACTACACAGCGCAACAACCCAGAAGACAGAAATCTTCATACTCATCGCCCTGATGACGGAGGCAGTATGACCTCTGAAACATTGGTAAACATCGACCAGACTACACAGCACAACAACCCAGAAGCCAGAAATCTTCATATTCACCGCTGTGAAGACCTCAAATCATACGACGCAGACTAAGTTTCATATTCGTACTAATAAACACACTCACCTAAAATAAACTAACTTTCAAGTGAATAGATTCTTGTATATCGTTAAGTCAACTAAATAAAACCATTCACTCCTTTGACCTGTAAACTCACCAATCAAGATTAAAACGAAGAAAATACACGAGAGACACGGAACGACGTACATGTTGGTCTTCAATGCAGATTTAAAGTCATCGCCAGATACAAACTCAACTGCAGGTCATGTTTCATCATAACGATGTGCCTCTCTTCAGAAGTGTAGCCAGATCACAGAATAATCAGCCACGAATGTTGATCGTCATTAATTGACTGGATCCGCCCCCCTAATGACACCGCGGAAAAGAGGATCATACTAAGAGCAAATGGGGATTTCATGATAATCTTTGGTAACTGTACTAATATAAATAAATATTTACCATTATAGACTTCTGAACCGTAAATTTGTTATAGGCCTAATGAAATCAGATGTGTTACAGTTTACTCCAATTTGGAAAACGCATTCTTCAAGCGTTTTTTTCCTATTTTATATGCATCACTGCCATCAATGATCGTTTATCACTCATCAGAATCTTTGTAGCGAAAAAATTAAAACTTATCATAATCACTAAATTTATGCTCTCGATAATATATATCAGAATATATCTCTGAAACACACTCGGCAATTTTTACTCAACAATTTTTCTTATTTACATTCTGGTTATTAAACCTGTCACCATTTGTGTGACGTAATCTTCAATTACTTAATAATTGTGACCTATATTTCATGTTCTTTAAACATTCTTTCCTTAGTCTTTCTGTAAGATTTTAGACTCTCACGGCTTTGAGTACGAAGATGGCTATCGTCTTGGTTGTTGTACCGTGTAGTCTGGAATCAGTTTACCGACGTTTCCGAGGTGCTTGCTGTTCTATCATTACAACAGAATCTATAAGACAGCCATCATCTATTATCTTTCCATTTAATGCTTAATAAAACCAATACACCTAACAAATAATCATGAAGTAATGTAAGCTGTAAACATTAGTGATTATTCACACGTAAACTGGTCTCCAGTTCTTAATTTGTCGTAACATTCAACTAAATATACCACATATAATGTAAATATGAGCGCACATGTTTGTCTTAAGGTGATTCTCACAGATAATATAAGTAATACGTTATCAATAAAACAAAGTATGTCACACTGAATGCGAGGAAGCCAATTCGATCCAGCATCGTGCCAACCAGACGCCAGTTTGGCCCACCTTGAGGTGGCGTCTCGACGCCTTCACTGTCAGCAGTCTGCACAGAAACAAAATGAAAACAGAAAAATAACTAAATCTCTGGCAACAGAACCTCGAGAGTCAATATCCTTAATAACAAAGGCCGTCACTGGACACGATCCTTAGACACTTCCATCCAGTTCCTCTACTCGCGACCTAGGCTTCACCATCGCAACATTAGATGACCCGAACTAACAAAGATTTTCCTCGTTATTCCATCACCGTCCGTCTGTAATTTAATAAGAAGCCACGTGGCTTGTTAGGCGTCGGCAGATGTTCTTGAGACATTCTCAAATATTTTTAGAAAATTTAATGCAAATCGTACTAACGCTCTGTGGAGCTCGGCACAAAAATTATTTTATTTTCCTTATAATATAATGAGGCATTTTTATTGCGAGATCGAGCTGCTACATGGAACAGGTGGTATAGTCCAACACGTACAGGTACGGATTCTGTCCGCTCCGTGATACCAAGTCGTGCAGTAAAACGAGTAAAGACTCGGTATTACCCGCAGATTAGTTTTCTTACTTGTCGAGGATGCTGAAGGAACAGTCGGCCTAAGAGTTGCCCAGGTCGACTCTCTTGCGCCTTCATGGTAAAGTCAGACACCCAAGCTGGCGGGATGGCAGGGTTTAGGTTCATCCATCGCACAACCAAGGTAACAACGAGAGACAATCCGCATATCAACATGGAGTCTCTATAGAAGAGTACTACGAAACACACAAGAAACGTGAGACCATCACACATCTGAAATTCAACTACCACGCCACAACCAGTACAGTCCTGACATTTGATGTTGTATGTTAGTAGGTAGAATTGCCGATGCTTAGAGAACATACTGTCTTCATTATCAGTGCTGATTAGTATTAATCCAAAAGCAGGATCACCATCAACGTTGAACTTAAGAATGAATTATAAAATTATTTCTAAAACACTTATAAAATATATATATATATAAAATGATCAGTAATTCGTTTTGGCGTCACAGAAGCGTAAATCTTTCTCAGCTCTTTGTTATTTGTATAGTTTCAAGGAAAAATGACGTTAAAGAAGTGAAAGCAATTAACCACTGCTTGTGGACATGGAACATGGAATTCTTACCTATTAAGGGGCAGCTGTTACCATTGTTGAACAAAGAGAGACTCGTGTACTGCAAGAAGAGAATATGGCTCACGAAAAGCGAACAGACGAGGCACAAGCGAGAGGAACTTTCGGCCTCGATCCAAAACGAAGCCAGAGTCAGCAAAACGAGAACTGAGTAAAACACAAAATAACGCATGGAATTTCAGGTTTTTACGGCGGTAAAGATATCGATGTTGGTATTTAGGAAGATAACAATACAGCCTCCAAATTCATCCTTGCAAGTTGATACGGCGTTACGACCTAGAAGACCAACATCGGGAGATTATTTATTTATTATTTATTTAGTGTTCTGTCTGACGACAGGTCCATATGAACAGGATCCTTCCATCCTTTTCTCGGACTGGGACCTGTTCATATACGTTCTTGGCAGATGATCCAGAAGTGGGAGATTACAGATAAATAATTACACGACCTTAAAATCGTCGGTTAATTTATGGACGTCATATATTTGAATTATTTCTGAATAATAGGTTTGGTTTAAGTTTTAGTTTAGTTTCCGATTTTTGAGAATCTGCTGTGGATAAATCTAGGTGACGTAACATTCAGTGTGAAGAGATGCTAGAACCAATTTTATTGGTACAATTTATAGGAATCAAGAAACACGTTAATTGCGTGCTACCTTTTTTTATAAAATAATTATAACATTTCATTATAGGTCCTATAAAAATCTCAAATATCTCACAGGTGTAGACGTCAATTAGGCTACATAAATTTGGAACAAGAATATAAATCAAACAAAAGATCAACAACCCACCACAAAATGAGCATCTTTACAACGCACGTGACGATTAACTGTGATCGTTTTAAAATTATTTGTTATCGATGATGTCCATCGACTGCTAACGTAGTGAGAGCATAATGGCGTCTGGGTTTGCCATAGGTTGAACATTTGATCTCCGTAACAAAATCGAAACTAAAGACACACAGTCTACAGTTTCCACACAAGAATTTCGAAATTCTTAAGAATAATGAATGTTCCTGGAAAACTTAATTCTCCCTGTGCTTTAGAACGAGCTTATTTGAAACCAACATGCATGTTTGCTCAGGGTACTAACCAAGTGCAGGGATGACCACAGTCGCTACGTGGGCCGCCGAATGTCTCACCAAGGTCAAGGTAATTGTCACGTAGTTGAAGGTGCTGTTTTCAAACGCGTCTCTGCGATGTTCCACTTCTGCGTTCCGTAG